ATTTATTGATTGTGAAAAGCTCTTATCATTTGAGTGCGAGGGTAGGTTATTCCGCATTGCCTAAAGCTTTGCTGGACATTACACGCACTAGTTTCAACTGCCACATGAAAACTTTTATTTATGTAATCAAATTCAGTTATCATGTCAAAAATTGATTATGTGTTATTTCAATACGGAAAGGCACCCAAATCAAAGCTTAATAAAATAAGAACGAAATACCACTCAGCTATTAGAATTGCCCTCGGTGCATCTCGCTCCTCACCGATAAACAACCAGCTATACGAAGCTAGCATAAGACGAACAGAACAGAGAACTAAACTTGCCATATAAAAAAAAACCTTAAAATGATTTTTACCGCCAAGAAAGCGCCTCTAGAACAGATTATCAAAAAAAAAAATATCGGAAACAAAACGAATCCAAGAACTTTCTTTAACAATAAAAGATACGATTGACCATTACAAAGCAACGCTACTATACCCTATCCCCAAAACAAATAAAAACAAGAAAGGAAGCTAACTTCGGCACGCCGAAGTTTATATACCCTTGCAGATAGAACTTCTATAAATAAAAAAACATACAATACAAATTATATATCTTTGTGTTAAAAAACAATGAAGTAATACCTGCTTTCATTTCATTCACCTATACATATTATATTTGCAGTTTTACATTCACTGATTTGCATTTTTCCTCCACATCAAACGATCGTTTGTATGGCACCTATATGATATAGTCGTCCGATTTTCATGAAATTTACCACAAAATTTAAGACTTAAATTAAATGCCTATACCTAAAATTTGATGAAAATCATTTGAAAACTGAAAAGGTTATAAATTTAATTGTATTAATTTCTCGATCGTTCCTATGGGAGCTATATGATATAGTAGTCCGATTTTCATAAAATTTTACGCAAAATTGTAGAATATAGTAAAATGGCTATATCTATAATTTGATCCAATTCTATTGAAAACTGAAAAAGTTAAAAATTTTTTGTAAAAATTTTCCGATCATTCCTATGGCAGCTATATGATATAGTCCTACGATCGGGCCCGTTCCGACATATATACGAGTGAGAGTATATAGAAGGCTAACTACAAAGTTTCATTCAGATAGCTTCAAAACTGAGAGACTAGTTTGCGTAGAAACGGACAGACGGACAGACGGACAGAAGGACAGACGGACAGACGGACAGACGGACATGGCTAGATCGACTCGGCTGTTGATCCTGATCAAGAATATATATACTTTATATAGTCGGAGGTGCCTCCTTCACTGCGTTGCAAACTTCTGACTGAAATTATAATACCCTGCAAGGGTATAAAAAAAGAAACCACAACAACGAAGTCCTTCAACTTTACTTAAATAAACAAATCCTTACACACATCAACAAAACCAAACACACCACCGATAGTCTACAATCAAAAGATCCAGCACAGTCCTTACTCTCAGTCCTTACAGCACTAAAAAACTCAAATAACTCTACCTACTATATATTAAAAATGATAACAATTTTAAGTTTTATAATAGTATTTAATGATATTATGGTTTAAGAGTTTGGATTAATATAAAGGTACACGTTGTTTTAGTTAGGTTTTAATCGCGTCGTTCTCTCTAATAAATTGTCATTTTTGCCGTCGTAAGCTAGCACGTCTTCTCGTCGTCGTCTCTCATCGCGAAATCGTCCTCTTCACCTCTTGCGCTCTTCTCATTCTGGATTGCACTATGTGGAATTTGACCCGATTTCGTGGCCAAAATTAAAAATTTTGCAATTATTAACACATTCACTGCAGGTTTCTTGTTTAATGACTACAGGAAAGTATTTCAAAAAAGTGGGAGTGTCAACGCCCTTCTCCGCCCACAGAAATAGAAAAAAATATAATATTTAAAGCAAGTTAGAAACCCCGATTTTCGAAGACAGGATGAATTTCTTATTTTAAATGTGTCCTGCAAATTTGGTTCAGATCAGATAATAAATATATAAGTTATTTAAGAATACATTTTTTCTCTATGTTATTCATTTTCATTTTTATACCCTTGCAGGGTATTATAATTTCAAACAGACGTTTGCAACGCAGTGAAGGAGGCACCTCTGACTATATAAAGTATATATATTCTTGATCAGGATCAACAGCCGAGTCGATCCAGCCATGTCCGTCTGTCCGTCTGTCCGTTTCTACGCAAGCTAGTCTCTCAGTTTTGAAGCTATCTGAATGAAACTTTCTAGTTAGCCTTCTATATACTCTCACTCGTATATATGTCGGAACGGGCCGTATCGGACGTCTATATCATATAGCTACTATAGGAATGATCGGAAAATTTTACAAAACAAATTTTAACATTTTCAGTTTTAAATAGAATTGGATCAAATTTAAAATATAGCCATTTTATTATACTCTAAAATTTTGTGTAAAATTGTATGAAAATCGGATCATATAGCTGCCATAGGAAAGATCGAGAAACTTATACAATTAAAAATTATGACTTTTTCAGTTTTCAACAGAGTTTGATCAAATTTAAGATATAGCCATTTTATATTACTTTAAAATTTTGTGCATAGTTTTTTGAAAATCGGACTACTATATCCTGCAGCTCCCATAGAAACGATCGAGAAATTAATACAATTACAAATTATAACTTTTTCAGTTTTCAACAGAATTGATCAAATTTGAGATATAGCAATTCTATGATACTTTACAATTTTGTGTAAAATTGTATGAAAATCTAACTACTATATCATATAGCTCCCATAGGAACGATCGAGAAATTAATACAATTAAAAATTAAAAATTTTTCAGTTTCGACAGAATTTGGATTTACAGGTTTTACTTCATTGTTTTTAAACACAAATATATATAATTTATTTTGTATGGATTCCTAGTCATAGAAGTGCTATCTGCAAGGGTATATAAACTTCGGCGTGCCGAAGTTAGCTTCCTTTCTTGTTATTCTATGTATTCATTTTCAACTTCATCATTGTCATAAATTTCAATCATCTTCCCTTATGTCGATATCAGTTAACAAAACCTTATATTCTGCGGAGTTTGATTATTCCACAATATATTTCCAGAGGAATTAAACCTCCTTGTTTAGCCCCGACTCCCTTTACAAAGCTTTAATATACAGAAGCTGACATTTGTTTTCAAAAACGGTACTACAAACATTGATCGCTTTAGACATAGATTATGAATACAACATCTGCTCACAAGTCACATAAATTTTATTTTCTTAAACAATATAACTTAAATTATACAATAATGGGGAACCTGATTTAAAACAGGTGAAAACATATTTCAGAAATATCATTCAAAATATATGTGTTTTGTGTCACAATGTTAGCTTTCAAGGATTATACATAATCTAGTTAATAGAATTTATCGCTTATGGTAGTTTTTAACAAAAGATTATTTGTCTATTTGTAGATAAAATAACTTTTATTCATTTTATATTATTATATTATAGATTATTTTATATTATTAGACATTTTAAGACGTCCTCGAAGACAATATCTTTATAATTATGAATATATAATATAAAATTTATATGCGTCATAGTCAATAGATAAAAAAGAACGTTGAAGAGCGCATCAGGTGCAGCGGTATCGGTATCAGTATCGGAATCTCTGGCAAGAACGGCTAGTTTGGCAACGGCCTTCTTTAGCAGTGGCACTTAAAGGCCGTAGGGCCCTGTAGCCGGACGAACCATATCTACTGTGATGACGTTGTCCCCGCCACGAATGTTTTTCTGGATGCAACCATTTATCGAAGAATTGTTGTCCTCCTCCAGCAACACTTTTCTTGCGATCTTGATTTTGGACAGACTTAGGATTTAACGCACTAGACAGTTCTCCAGACACGATCCAACCAAGCTCAGTGTTCCGAAGAGCACTATACAAATAAATTTGTAACGAAGTGATTATTTCGAAAACAGACCAGCGCCAATTAAGAAATCAATTCTTTGTGATTCGTTGAAATAAGGATTATCGAGCTAAATGTTCTGTGGCATCCTTCATGATGTTGAAATGAGGATGATAATCAATGATATCATGAGTCACAACAGCTGAAAATGACGTATGAATGTCGACTGACTTATCAGAATTAATGGAAAATTTACGAATTCCCGAGACTAGAGTATGCGATTTCCTATCATTCAAAATTAGAAGCTAGAAACTAGAAGCTAGAAACTAGAAACTAGAAACTAGAAACTAGAAACTAAAACTAGAAACTAGAAACTAGAAACTAGAAACTAGAAACTAGAAACTAGAAACTAGAACTAGAAACTAGAAACTAGAAACTAGAAACTAGAAACTAGAAACTAGAAACTAGAAACTAGAAACTAGAAACTAGAAACTAGAAACTAGAAAAAAAAAAAAACTAGAAACTAGAAACTAGAAACTAGAAACTAGAAACTAGAAACTAGAAACTAGAAACTAGAAACTAGAAACTAGAAACTAGAAACTAGAAACTAGAAACTAGAAACTAGAAACTAGAAAAAAACTAGAAACTAAACTAGAAACTAGAACTAGAAACTAGAAACTAGAAACTAGAAACTAGAAACTAGAAACTAGAAACTAGAAACTAGAAACTAGAAAACTAGAAACTAGAAACTAGAAACTAGAAACTAGAAACTAGAACTAGAACTAGAAACTAGAAACTAGAAACTAGAAACTAGAAACTAGAAACTAGAAACGAGAAACGGGAAACGAGAAGCTAGGAACTAGGAACTTGGAACTTGGAAAGTGGAAAGACGATATAGGAAATATGAGATAGAAAATATGTAAAATAGTCCAGTGACCGCTGCCAGCAATTTAGAAAAAAAAATTAAATTCAGTGCCATATAAATGCCCAATTCAAACATTAGTAAGAATAAACACTAATACCTTAAAAATGCGTTCTGAAAATTGAGATGAGTGTATTAATAATTATATAAACTTATATTTATTAAAGTAACTGCTTTCGTGGTATATCAAAATAATTGATACTGTTGTTTTTTTTTTTTATAGAACCTTAAAAATCAAATCATGACGACCAATCTTTGGGTGGAACAGGTAAGTTACAAAATCATGCTTCAAAAAAGAAAGAGAACTAACATAAGTAGGCCGATTCTTGTGTCCCTTCACTTTGCTTTACTTTGTTACTTTAGATTATAAAGATTAATCAAATTTAATAAAATGAAAAAAATGGGGCACACATTAAATAAAACATATTAACAAAACATTTATACAAATTAAAGAAATTTAAACATATAAGTTGAACCGGACGGCCCTCCTGAGAAGGCCAATCATTGGCCAGTATGGCCTTAATTATCCGGAGGTTTTTTTCACATGGACCGGGAGAATGTTACGCCGTGTTGAAGTCCTGTAGGATCGCGGTTGTTTTGCGACGGCAAGTAGTTCACCTGGCGACCTCTTGGAGGCATCTGCTAGTGATGCCAATACTGGGGCACCTAGGTATTTACTCTTGCCTGCGTTAGGGCTGGGCACTTACTGAGGAGATGCTTCAAGGTTTCGGTTGCCTCAGATTCATCACATTTCCTGCAGTTTCTATTGTTGGTGATGCCCAGCTTGACTTCTTCCTGGAATATGCTGAAATGGCTTGGTAGCTTATACGATAGCCTCGTCTCTGAGTCTGTACAGTATATGCCCGCTCCAACTCGTCCTTCCACCTTGGAGCCGTCAATGTATATGTTGAGGTATCGAGCATGGTCTTGAACCGTTTTCCAGTCTTCAGGTCCCATGAATTTCGATGTTTTAACATCAGGGAAAGTTCTAGGCGTCATGTAGTCAGATACACTGCCCATGGTTCGACCGATTGATCTGTGCCCGTATCCCTGCGTCGACATATTTCTTAGCGCTACTAGGCGTTGTGCATCCTTTCCCGCGGTCAGTTGCGCGAGGATATGCAGGGGTGGCCTCTTTTACCTAGTATAGTGCCAAGGTATTTGACTTGTGATTTCGGAGTCAGCCTGGTTGTATTTATTTTTGGGGGGATCCATGGCGGTACCTTGTATCTCTTAGTGAAAAGAATGAGGTCCATCTCATCCGCATTGGTGCTGAGTCATACCCTGTCCGTCTACTCACATATCTCCCTGATCGTTGATTCCATGATCTAGCTAAGGGTCGATTTAAAAACTCCTGTGAAAACTATGCTTATGTCGTCAGCATAGGCTGTTATCTGTTCCTCTCGAACCTTCTGATAGGTCGTCGACCACTAGACTCCATTGGAGGGGCGATAGGACTTCGACTTGCGGCGTGCCTGTGTGCGCCCCTTTCACCATGGAAGCGGTGCTCCAATCTGATTGTACTCGTCGGCATCTTATCCTATCCAAAAGCTGATGGCGGGTGCGTGTTGGTCGCTCCTAGGCGCTCAATTATTGCGTCTGTGCTTACATTATTGAATGCCCCGGATATGTTCACAAAGACTCCGAGCGCATATTCCTTGTTGTGCAGGACCCTCTCAATAGTGGCTACTAACTAATGCTGCGCCGTCTCCAATGATTTCCCTTTTGTGTATGTGTGCTGGTTGGTTGACAGTGATCTGCTCACATCGTTTCTGATGTATGGGAGCAGAAGCTATTCTAGCGTCTTGAGTAAAAAGGAGGTGAGGCTTATCGGCCTGTAGTCCTTGGGACTGACGTGGCTGCTCTTTCCTGCTTTGGATAGGAAGACATTCCTCAAAGTTTCGTTGGATTGTAATAAAGCCCGTACTAAGACAAGCTGTGTAACTTGCGTATAGCCATGGTCGCCTGCAGCATGGCTGGTGTGTAAGGGGGCTATTCTGCCGCTAAAGATCTTGTATTGAAAAGTAGCTCCCGCGACACAGTCGTAAAATAATATAACCCGTAGAGGTTAAAAAGAGAAGTTGGGGGCGTCGTGGGGCTCGCTTCTGTGCGTCAGCTTTATTTCGCTTCATACGTAGAACTAATTAGCTTAAACATAAGGGCTGCGCTCCCGGCCGATAAGCTAAGCTTAACAGTGCGAGAGCGGGCCCGAGAGGTGGAGCGCGAACTAGCAGCGAGCCAAGCTCGCGAATATCGAAGAGAGGAGAGCGGGAGCACGTAGATTAGCCCGATGAGTAGTGCACGAAGGGCCGACCTGCGGAAGTGCAAGAGCTGCAAGCTTTGGAAGCTCAGTGGACAGAGGCGGCGCCGCGGCCGCCGGAAAGGGATTCCTGACGTGAACTGCTGGAAATATTCCATCTAGTTCTGGCGCCCAGTCCTACAGCCCAGTGATTCTTCTAGAGGATATGAGATCTTTGGGAGATGCTCTTCCCTGGTTGCTAGTACATGGTGCTCGTTAGCATCGCGATGCTTCGGTGCTGTTAGGGCCTCTTCGCTGCCCTCAATCCACTGCCCGTCGTCGCGATTAAGCTGACTGTGTATGCTTTGAAAGCATACGTTTCTCCAAGAGCTTCTTTGTGCCCTGCATATTTCCTTCTAGTAGTTCCTTAGCAGGATTTTGTATTCCTCGTTGATCATCCATATCCATATCTCATATCATCCTTCGCCTGCTTGGCGAGTTTGAAGAATTTTCTGAGGTTAGTGCGTTGGAGCGAGAGGTCCTTGTTCCACCAGGGTGGTTTGGTCCTTTTCTTGCTTCTTGGAATCGGGCATGAGGCGTGACATGCGCCTAGGAATTCCTTTGAGAGGTTCTCTTTTCAATATCTTCATCGAATTTTACTGCGCCTGGACAAGTCTCGAGTTTACGAGAGATTATTTTTTTGAACTTTCCCCAGTTAGTGTTCCGGATGTTTCTAAAGACTGTTGTTTTTGGAGGGTGACCGAACTCGCATCGGAACTGTATGTACCTGTGATCTGAAGAGGATGGTCTCTCAAGGACTTTCCAGTCTGATACCATTGTACTTTGTCCCGTTACGTTACGTACCTTCGCTTTTGCTATGGATGGGATTTGTAGTCCACCACCTCCGCCCCGTCCCACAAAACTTCCTTCTGGCCGACCGTTTGCGTCAGCCACTTCTCGTCGGGTTATCCATACACTTTAGGATTTTGACCCCATTTAACCACTCGGCACCATCAGGGCGCTACAGGTCTTCCTCCCTCCTTATAATCAATGACTCAACAAGCCGCGCATGCACCGTCTTCCACAGCGGCTCGGTCATCTTGCCATTCGCATCGCTCCTGTCAGTGAGTGCCGTTTGGTCACCTCACTGGCCTTCGAGATTTCTTTTCCTTGTGTTTCTTCGCCTTCAAGGGGGGCCTGCTTCTTGGACACGCATTGCCGTTGCAAGCCGAAGTGTCTTTTATAGCACTCTTCGCGGAGCGTTGCCCTTTGGTGGCAGGCATCTCCTCCACCTTGTTGGTGAAACCGACTGTTGATGCCTTGTTTGGAAGCTTAGCGAAGTGCAGCATGCTCTTTTCGATCCTTTGCTCGGCCCAGTTGAGCTTTACCTTCTCCTACCTAGGGCATCTTTTGTCCGGAGCCGGCTCTGGATTCGAAGGGCGCAGTATAGGCCTTAACCTTCTTCCCCTCGCTTGAACGCTTGGGCCCCTCCCTGCGCGGGGAGCTGGTGCCCGGTTCTGGCGAGCGAAGATGGCTGTCTTCCTCTTCTTACGAAAGCTGCACGCCCTGCTGGTCCGAGTCTGTATAGGCAACGGCACCCGTGCGGCTTAGCCTTCTTTGCGTCGTTTTTCTGGCACTAGCGTTACAATTGAAGTGACCTGCTGCCGTCAAATCAGAAGTGTGACCGCTGGCGACACGCTAGCTAGCACGCGTAGCAGTCACTCCTTTCACCGATGTTTGGGCTGACATCCCAGCCCCGGTTGCTTCTCCTTTCTCTATCCCTGCGAAAAAATTGGTTTATTTCCGGGGAAACACCCACTTGCGTTTTATGCCTGCCGCCAGCACCTCCAACCATGGCTAGTGATTCATTTCCTCCGGCGTTAAAGCTGGAGGAATTGAATCGAAGCCTTAGCTAGACACTGCATTACCCCGGACGGAGAATGCTCCACTGCATTACCATTGTACGGGGTAATACAGTGCCCATTTCCCAGCCATCGCCCTCGTGGAGGGTTCAGCTGGAGGATTTTTGCCAGCCATATAAACATATAAATTTATAATAAATTGTATAATTATAATAAAATATATATCAGGTTTCCCTCCCTGATGATTTAATTCCAAAACGCACGAGCCGACTTCTAGCGCTTTTGGCAGTCTCCGGTAACTCACTCTGGAGGTAAAGGATTACGCTAGCGCCATCTGCTGAACTAGAATGGGGCTATGGAATCACTGGGAAACAGCGTTAATTGTGGATAAAATTAACATACACTTTTTATATTCCCTTGCCATGATTTTGGGTCCACCGAATATCGATCCTTGCTACTTATGTTAGGAACATCAGCAAAGTGAAAAACGGCGATTGAAATTTCTTATAGTTCTCGGTTAATGAAAAGGGAAAGAACGAAAAAAAAATGAAATGGCAGACAGTGAACCCATTGTAATTTTCTTTCAGACATTATTTTTCAAACTCCACAGGTTGGCCCTTTCCTCGGTGGATTCAAAGAGTGGTGTGGTGTACAGTGAGTGAGTTAAAAACATGATAAAAATATTCACGAAGTTAAAATTTCTTAATTAATAATTAAATCAGATCGAATGTGCACATTTTCGTACCATTGTGCCATTCTATTGCAGAGCATTAGAATATTAATGAAAGTTTATGCACTACGGTCAGTACACTCAAGTGGCCCATAGGAAAAACAAGCATCTGCCTGTTTGGTTAGATATTAGTAGGCGCGATAGAAAATATAGAAAATAATGCGAGGAAGTTAACTCGTGGCGTGCAGCCAGGTTGTTTGCTTGCATTTGGACTAAGTGGGTTAGTATTAAGGTTTTAAGTTTGAGAAGTTGGGAAGACTATCTACGTTAGATATTAATGCGTACAAATCATTATAATTTTGCACATAAAACTCTAAAAAAGTTCATGCAATTCAATATCTAGTATTTTTACTTGGTACGTGGAAAGTAAGCTGACTCAAGAAGTCAGCACTTTCCACATCAACATGGATGAGGTTGTGGAAGGAATAGGAAGGTAATTTTTGGTTTGCATCCCATTTAAACCACGTAAAGCGAAAAGTAGAAAGTTCTTTTGAACCGATGCGATGTGTTTAATATTGATGCCTTACTAAAGGGCTTTAGTAGATTTAGTAAAACAGGGGTCATTAATTTCATTCCATCACCGTTTAATAAATCCAAGCACAGCCCTGGCTCTATTCACCAAAGACGAGATATGATCGTGTTGGGAACAACACGAGAGTTTGTCATATGCTTGAATTTAGAGCCTTTAAGTTAAAAAGTTTAAACATGGTGCTGTTTAAAAATTATTGGTAAATCCGACCTGGCAAGATAACTGAGATGCAATTAAGAAGATCAATTAAAAAACTTATTAATTCGAGTTTCCTTTACGAGGTAAGAATGGTTAACATAGTCTAATACTTTAGTGAAGTCATTATAGATTAAATCTGTAATTATGGAAGCCATTTATAATACAGAAAGAGAGCTCCAAAAGAATTGTTGCTATTGGAGGAATTACGGTTTGAAATGCTTTGGGATAGCCAACAACTTAGACAACTTTTTTGTGGAGAGGAAAAACGGAAATAAATGAATTCTGACATAAACATAACATTAACATACATAAAACATAACATACATAACAATAACCATAACATAACATAAAACATACATACAACATCTACATAACAATACATAACCATAACATCATACATCAAACATACATAACATACATAACATACATAACATACATAACATACATAACAACAAAAAAAACAATAACAACATAACATACAACATACATAAAACATAACATACATAACATACATAAAACATAACATACAAAAAATAACATACATAACATACATAACATACATAACATACATAACATACAAACATACATAACATACATAACATACATAAAACATAAAAATAACATAATAACATAAAACATAACATAACAACATAAAACATAACATAACATACATAACAATAACATACATAACATACATAACATACATAACATACATAACATACATAACATAACATAACATACATAACATAACATAACATACATACATACATACATAACATACAAATACATATACATAACATACATAACATAACATAACATACATAACATACATAACATACATAACATACATAACATACATAACATACATAACATACATAACATACATAACATACATAACATACATAAACATACATAACATACATAACATCATAACATACATAACATACATAACATACATAACATAAAACATAACATACATAAACATACATAACATACATAACATACATAACATACATAACATACATAAACATAACATACATAACATACATAACATACATAACATACATAACATACATAACATACATAACATACATAACATACATAACATACATAACATACATAACATACATAACATACATAACATACATAACATACATAACATACATAACATACATAACATACATAACATACATAACATACATAACATACATAACATACATAACATACATAACATACATAACATACATAACATACATAACATACATAACATACATAACATACATAACATACATAACATACATAAACATAACATACATAACATACATAACATACATAACATGCATAACATACATAACATACCATAAACATACATAAATCATACATAACATACATAACATATAACAACTAACATACATAACATACATAACATACATAACATACATAACATACATAACATACATAAACATACACATAACATACATACATCATAACATACATAACATACATAACATACATAACATACATAACATAAAACATACATACACATTAACATACATATACATAACATACATAACATACATAACATACATAACATACATAACATACATAACATACATAATCATAAACATAACATACATAACATACATAACATACATAACATACATAACATAATAAATAATAACATACATAACATACATAACATACATAACATACATAACATACATAACATACATAACATATACATACATAACATACATAACATACATAACATACATAACATACATAACATACATAACATACATAACATACATAACATACATAACATACATAACATACATAAATACATAACATACATAACATACATAACATACATAACATACATAACATACATAACATACATACATAACATAAACATCCATAACATACATAACATACAACTAACATACCATAACATACATAACATATCATAACATACATAAACATAACATACTCATAACATACATAACATACATAACATACATAACATACATAACATAACATAACAACATAAACATACATAACATACATAACATAATAACATACATAAAAAAAAAAAAAAAAAAAAAAAAAAACATACATAACATACATAAACATACATAACATACATAACATACATAACATACATAACATACATAACATACATAACATACCATAACATACATAACATACATAACATACATAACATACATAACATACATAACACATAACATAAAAATAAAAAAAACATACATAACATACATAACATACATAACATACATAACATACATAACATACATAACAATACATAACATACATAACATACATAACATACATAACATACATAACATACATAACATACATAACATACATAACATACATAACATACATAACATACATAACAATACATAACATAACATAACATACATAACAATACATAACATACATAACATACATAACATACATAAAAACATACATAACATACATAACATACATAACATACATAACATACATAACATACATAACATACATAACATACATAACATACATAACTACATAACATACATAACATACATAACATACATAACATACATAACTACATAACATACATAACATACATAACATACATAACATACATAACATACATAACATACATAACATACATAACATACATAACATACATAACATACATAACATAACATACATAACATACATAACATACATAAATACATAACATACATAACATACATAACATACATAACATACATAACATACATAACATACAAAATAACATACATAACATACATAACATACATAACATACATAACATACATAACATACATATACATACATAATAACATACATAAATACATAAACATAACATAAAATAAAACATACATAACATACATAACATAATAACATACATAACATACAAAAAAAAAAAACATAATAACATACATACATAAAACATAATAAATAACATAACATACATAAATACATAACTACATAACATAATACATAACATAACATATGTACATATAAATATATAACCAAGCAAATCATTTCCATCGCTTCCATTGCTCGCTTTCTAATCTTCCGTCGGGAGAAAGTGGGACACGAAAAAATTCTTCTAAAGGACTCGTACGCGGCTCTTCTAGAAGAGTCGCATAAGGTTTTCCGGAAGAGTCACAGGCGGCTTGTGTAATTTTTTGTTCTTAATGTAATAAAAATAAAATATACAATTTTATTTATTTCTTGTTCGCAAATTTTTTGAAATTTTTGTTTACCAAAACCTGTGAAATAATTTAAAGAAAATGTGTTAAATTTATTATTTTACAATTGTAGGTGTACATGTTGAAACAAGCGTTGCTGCCTGTATTTCATATAACTAGCTTCAATCCAGTTATTCAAAATATTTTCCATCGCAGGCTACAATTTTTTCCCATCTTTCCGGATGCATGTGAATTCCACGTCGAAAAAAATGTATCATTGGCCGGAACAAGTGGAAATCCGAAGGAGTGATGTGTGGGTGGTAGGGCGGGTGGGGTAGAACGGACGTTGTCATGTAGAAGTATCACAAATCTCTCGCAAATGATGCTTATTCGATTCGTATTTCGAAATTTTGAGCACCGTCAAAATGATAAACAATGAGAATACTTGAACGAGACAATTTACAGTTGTGGACCGACCATGTGGCGTTGCTGATCAAAATTTCTTACCGATTTGTGAAGATGACACCACTCTGTCAAAAACGGCGGTTTTCTACTTTTACACCCAATAATACCTTTTTTAACTGAAAATATATTAAGTGGTTCAATGCTGGGTATAGTATTTGTTCCGCACCAAGTCAATTAAACGCACATACTTTCCGATAGAACGGCTTTTAATACGTTCCTGATGATGCACCTACTTGGTGCATTTTAGTGTTCTAAAATAGAAATAAATATTTGAGCACTGTAAAATATTTTGCTAAAAGTTAGTCCTCACCATAGGTTTAATGTCAGAAAAAATTTGTTCGCACACAACCTTTCAATACGAAAAACAAAGACGTACTGAAGCAAAACCCGACTGCTTTGACTGCCGAAGTGACTACCTTCTTAATTGTATCGTGGTCCTCACCATTTGTTCCCTCGAATCTCCATCGGAAAGTATGACCAAAGACTTTATAACTTATAAGATGCTTCACGGCCATACATTCGTTTTGCAATATGAGGCTAATTTTTTGATTCAACGACAATGGCGCTCTCCCTGCTCTCACAAAGTTGAGAGCGTAAATATCTAAAAATAGAATGCGTTTGCATGTATGAGTAAACACAGAACAAAAAAGTGCGCATGTGTGCGTGAATATGTGTGTGCTTCTGTTCGCATGCCCAACGACGAAAAATTAAAATTTTATATTTTGGCTGAAGACCGCTTGTTAGGTAGAGAGGGGGACGAGAACGGCAGCAAAACAGCTGATGTATACATGTGCATATCGATGTGTTTGTTTGTTTTGATTTTAGTTTGTTTACATTTTTAAAGTGCTTGAGTCCCTTTATATTGTTATTTTTTCTTTATTTTAATTATATTATTTTTATAACTAATGCAAAAAATAAAAATACTTCGTTTAATTCCAATATTTAAATATGTATGTATATTATATATTTGAATTATTAAATATATACATATGGGCAATTCTCCAGAAAGGTCCACCGCGGCCAAAAACTTAAAATTGCTTAAAAACGAGTATTTTTAACATGATTATAAAAAAATTGGTCAGGATGATCAAGACTAAGAGAATTTTTCATTTTCTAAAATAAGTTTCAAAAAAATCGATGTCAACACGCGCAAATGCAAAAAATGTTGTTTTTATCAAAAAAGGCATAAAAAATGGCATGTTTTGTTTTGATGTCAATCTATTAAACAAAGGGATTTTGCTTTGACTTTTGCTTTCTATTATCACATAGAAAACCCAAAGAGTAAATAAAAAGTGGAAAAGGACATATGCGATCATCAATATTCGTACAATTTTAGTTTGAATTATCGCTTTCCAAACTGTCGCGTGCGACATGTCGCGTGCGACCGGGACTAAAATTGAATTTAAAAAATAACTACTTAATATTTTAAAATCAAACAAAACAAATTATGAAGAGAATTCATTGCGTAATTCATTAAAATTATTTTACTACAATTTTTCATCACGTTTCGCTGAAATCAGAGCTTAAACTTGTTTTTTGCAAATGTAACTTCTATTTTTGTCGCGTGCGAACGCAGTACATTTTAGTGAATATCTTGAAAACAAACAAGGGTTCAAATCGACCTTAGCACCAATTATAGTGCAAACCAAGAGCTATACGTTTCAATTTTTATAAAATTAAAATAGTCTTGGCACATGTGTTTTTTTAGTTTGAATGCGTACGAATGTCGCATTCGATACCAGAGAATTGCCCATATATTAAATATTATTATTATATAACAAAAAATACCATTTAAATTCATATTTATATATGTATTTATAATTATTCAATTCAATTGACTTAGAAATAATATTTATTTATATATATTATATATATATATATATATATATATATATATATATAAATAAATATATACATAAATTATAAAAATAAATAAAATAAATGTACAAATTTGTAATAAATTCAACCGCGAAATCGGTATTTTGAGGCACGCCATGTTGCTGTATGCGTATGAGAGAGCTGCTGGCTCTAGAGCCATCACGAAAACATTACTGTATGCGTGAGAGTGCTGCTGGCTCTAGACTCTAGAGTCTAGCGGCTAGAGTCTAGCGGCTAGAGCCAGCACGAGAGAGCGGCTGGCTCTAGAGCGCTCTCTCGCTGGCTTTTGAACGAAGTGCGAGAGAGCCTGGAGCCAGTTCAAAGCCAGCACGAAAAATCGTGTGCAAAAAAATCGTATGGCGTTACTAATCTTATACTTATACATCTTTGGTATGACCGTGTCAAAAGTTTGTAGATGTCCAATTGTGTCAAAAGGTAATGTTGGCAATTTATTTATTTTATCTAAGCAACTGTTATTTATTTTCTTCTTCATCTCCTGAACTTCGTTTTTCAAAATAACTACCTCCTCTGCTAGCTTTTTTATAAGGGCGTTGTTGTTTTTAAAGTGTCAATATTTGGTTATTTGTTTATTTTTTTGTCAATTTTACCAATTTGATCTTTAACGAAACAAATATTATTAGGTTCTGTCGTTCCGAGATGAAGATTGTTAATTTTAACAAAAGTATAACTATCTTCATGTTTATTTTAACTCCCATCTCAGAAGACTCTTCTTGGCGATTGCCGAATATTATTTGCAGCCAAGTGCGGTACTTTATTTCACATTCCTTGTCTTTGAAGCTACTGTGAACATCGCCAAATGGTCGTCTGGAAGATTAATCCTCCAACAATCGCCAAAGCGACACTCAGAAGACTCTTCTTGGAGATCTTCGATCTACTCTCAGATGAATCTTCTTGGCGATTCAACAATCACCAAATGGTTTGCAGGGAATATATATAATTTATGTTGAATTAATTATTAATGATCAAATTGCAATTTTCAAGGATATATAAACTTCGACGTGCCAAAGCTAGCTTCCATTCTTGTTTTTCTTTTCATTTGTCAAAATGGATTAATTTTAAAGACACGATTGGTTAAAATTAACCTTAAGGACTTTAAGATTTCTTCTTGAGTTATAATACTAATGAATGACGGCCCTCTAGCTAAATTATCAATATTATCGAAATTTTTCAAACTAAAGAGTATTTTTGTCATTTACCTTTTCTACAGTCTTGGTATGATTACAAGCTTCGGTGGGAACCAAAAGAATATGGTGGAGTTCATATGCTACACGTTCCATCCGATCATATATGGAGACCGGATATTGTTCTTTATAATAAGTAAGTGAAAAATTGATTCCTTATGTATTTTTATTGGAAAGATCTTACAAATTAAATATTTCTAGAACCTAGGTCTATAAACATATGTGTCATAAAACTTGTATAAAAATGTCAATGAAATTTAAAGTCCTTTTTACAATATAGAAACTTATTTGATCGATCGAAAAAAATACACAGCATTTATTTATTATATCAATTTAATAATAAATTTAATTCAATATATAAGAATTTGATCATTAGTGTAATAATTAAGTATTCATGAGATTAACTATAAATCAGTTCATGTTGGAAATACAAAAAAAAAAAACAGGGTTAAGCATAATTTTAAGCCAAGTTAGAAATATGTTTATATATATGTGATTATAAATAGAAAGTTATGCAAAAATTTTAAAATTCCATTTTTAGGTTTGGTTAGGTTAGATTAAAGGGGTAGGGCGTAGTCACACCTCCTCTCCTCCTCCATTCAGGTAGGCTAAGGTAGCAGTCACTGACTGTCTCCCCACTTCCTTAGTGACCCGATCTGTTGAGCTCCAAAGGGGTGTGCATTGATTTGGTTAAACGCTAGGCAGTGACACAGATGCTCCGGGGTCTTCTGCTCTCCCGAATCCTTGAAACTTCTGCAGTGTGTATTATAGGTTAGGCCCATCTTGTCGGTGTGCGTGCCTTTTGGCCAGTGACCACTGTTGGCTGCTGTTATGCTTCCAGTCCGTCTCCCGCAGTAATTAGGCCGCATAGCTTCGGTCTTCTGTGCTCTGTCTTTATTGACCTTTCCTTGCTTTCTATTAGTTTAAAAATGGTCATAAATTTCCGTCTGGTATGAGTTCAGAGAGACTAGTGTGTTGGAGCTTTCCTTTGACCCTTTCCTGGCCAGCTCGTCCGCTTTCTCGTTTCCTGGGATGTCGTTATGTCCGGGCACCCTGGAACCCAGTTGTCCTCTTTTAGTCTGTTTAGTGTGTCTTGGCATTTGGCCACAAGTTTAGATGTAGTCCTTGGTGTTGCGAGGGATTTGATGGCCGCTTGGCTGTCATTAGATTTACCTTGGTATTCCGGAGGTCTCGATTAAGTGAGAGTTTGACTGATTTCGTTATTGCGAGAACCTCCGCGTGAAATACTTTCGCTGATGCTAGGAGGTGGAAGGACTCTACTACTTCCCAACTCTCAGCGATGATTCCAGCTTGAGTGGAGATATGCTCGGGTACACTCCCTCTTCTCCATTCATCCCTTGTTGGGTATATCGTGGTATACTGCTAAATCGTGCGATTTTCATATAATCAGTGTCTTCTGTCATCTGATTGTTTGTCTCGTCAAGGATCGTACAGTGCCCAGCCTTGCAACCGCTGAAGAGCCATATCGACGCATTGCCGCGAATGTATCTAATTTTACAGGAGAAGCTTTTTTTCTTAATCTCTTAGGAATGAGAAAATCATGAAAATTTTTTTTCATGGGCTTCATGGTTTTTGCTTTAAAAACGAATAAAATTTTTAATTTAATTTTTGTCATTAAAAGCGCCATTTCATGAAAAAAGAAGATTTGTAATACATACGATAATTTCGCGCGCTTCGTTTTTATACATTTTTTTTATACAAATATTGAGTTTAGAATTAGGCAAATTTAAAGATACTTTTTCGAATGTAATGTTTTATGTTTAGATAAAATTGAAAAATGTTTCAAATTTTTAAAGTGTGTCTAATTCTATACATTCATAGCTGGTTGGATTTGTTCTAGCATTTCCAATATGTGTCGGCCGTTCGCTGGGTGCCCATACATTACGGCAGAAAGAGGAAGAAACAATAAGCAAAATCATAAGATGTTTGAGCGATTCGAAACATTTGTTATTGTATTTCTTTATTTTTGTGCGTTCGAAGTATTTCCATTCACATGAAAACAAAATTTTTGATGGACATACGATAATTTCGCGCCCACATTGAAAAGCACTGTAACATACGATAAAATTGAAACTTAATTTTATTTGTATCAGAACTATAAGGTTTTCAGTTATACTATTTTACAGGGAAGTAAGACATAAGGTCCTTGACAATTTTGCATTAAAATCTCAATTTCGGAAAAAAGCGAAAGACGATACTTTTGCGGAAATGCAACGGTATTATTATCTTATGGTGGAATCCAGTTTTTCCGAACATTTTCCTACTGGAGTAAAAAGGTAACAAACTTTTTGACTTTTTCCATTACAGCTTCGAATCTAGTATTATTCCCAGATACTGCGATAGTCCTTGTTCTATACCTTCTATCTGAGATTTTTGAAATTGAGAATCTTTGCTCTTCTTGTGAAGAGCATAAGCTCCGTTTTAGGCACCGTTTTACCAATCCAAAGGCTTTTGCCCATGCATTGAGTTTGGTGAGTGCTCTTGTCATCAGTTCGCTGATGAAGTCGGGGAATGGTCCTGAAGTCAGTACGACTAAATCGTCTGCGTATGCTACCACTTTTACACCTTCACTGTTGAGTGCTTTTAAAGGTCATCCATGTTTATCAGTCAGAGCAGTGAAGAGAGAACTCCGAGGTGTGCCTCTCTTCACATATCTTGTGTCATGAGTCCCACTCAGTTCGGCTGTTATCCGTCTTCTCGTTAGAATTGAGCAGATCCAGGTTATGATGCCTTCGTCAACTCCTATTCTGTTGAGGGAGCTCAGGATGAAGTCTGCTCCCTCTATATCTAAGAAGGTGGCCACAATGTAATTCTTGAAAAGCAGTGCCTTTTCTGGATCTGCCCTTCTTGTATGCATGCTGTACGTCGGAAAGGCTTTTCTTCGTTTTACCTCTGGTGTGGATATCCAGTGTTTTTAGAAGGAATGAGGTCAGGCTAATAGGCCTGTAATCCTTGGCTTAGATGTGTCCTCCACTTCCTGGTTTGGGTATAAAGCTAATCTTGCTTACTCTTGCTCTTCCAGACCCCAAAAAATCCTTTCCATAGTGACTATCTCTTCCGCTCCTATTTGTTGGACTACCCTCTGTCTTTCCGTTGTTACTGAATTTTCTATCCGGTTTCCTGAAAAGTGTTTGTCCAGCAGGATTTCTAGTAACTCTCCTGATGACGTCGTTCCTGTGCCGTCAGGCCTGTTTATAAGTGTAGGGCTAGCTCGCACTTTTGCTAGTATCTTGCTCAACCTAGCCGTGTTTATATTCCTTCTAGCGATTCGCATAAGCTGCTCCAAAAGTGCTTCTTGGCACCGTATATTGCGTTTCTGTCCTTCCTAACCTATTTCCTGAGTACGCTTAGTTCCTTGTTCCACAATTGTGGGTATGTCTTCTATGAGTACGTGAGTCTGCATGGCTCCTTGTACGCGTTGTTTAGAATATTACTGAAGTACTCGACATCCTTGTCGATTCCTTCGGGGAAGACCGAGCCCTGGTCCTTCGGCTTCTCACCTTAGACTGAACAAATTTTTGTTTGGTGCTGTCCCCTGTGTCGGATTTCGAGATTTCACAGAATATTAACACATGGCCAGAAAAAGAGTGTTGGGTCGAGACCCTCCATTTTCCTTCCTTAAAATTGCTGTGCTCCATTTCCATTCTTCTCAGTCCATTGCATCGCCCTGATGAACGCTGTAGCCGGATGGTATGAGTAAAGCTGTACCGTCCGCTGCTTCTAACCTGTCCATGGCTAGATCTGAGTTGCTTTGTTTGCTTGATGTTGTTGGTCAGCTTTGCCCTCCTTCTCATTCTTGGCCTTTTCAAGAGTTACGGAAATGGATAGGAATCAAAGGATTTATTTGGTGTATGAGTCTCATGCCATAGTACGTTTCCGAAGGGTGCCACGCGGAGGATCTTCACCGAGGAAAAAGTGGTGTCTATTTAATATATACCTCATTACTATTATAAAGATGTTCACGTCAGAAGGTCCTTCGCAGCGGCCGCTGCGCCGCGTTGCGTTGTCGAAGTGAACTTTCTAGAGACATCCTCAGCAACAAATAAACCTTTAAAAAGACGATAAACGGGAGACAGTACTTAGATCTGAAAGAATTCCTAAGTGAACCGCCATGAACGCTAAACAAACAAATAAAGCAACGTAGATTTATATAGAGGCTTTCCTCGAATTTTCAATGTCGTAGAAACAGGGACACAGGGGGTGGCAACGCTAAATTGTAATCAGGCACTGTGCATTTATGGAGCAGAATATGGTTTGAGCCGTCACAAACTCGACACTTTTTGCCTTTGCATTTCGAACCAGAATGGCCTTTTCATTGATAATTGATGCATAAGCAGGCAGACTTGACAAACTCAAAACCTTTGCTTTACAGAGAGACGAATGATCTGCTGCATTGCATTAGCTACAAGTTTACTGAGGCTTGCTGTTGGAGGGGAAACACGAAAATGAATTACGATATTATAGATAGCAGAGAACCACGAAACAGACTGTGTGCTCAGGTATTTTGCCGACGCCCTGTGCTATCCCCTTCTGAAATTATTTACCTTGTCCTTAGAAACCTCCACTTTGCCATTATTTGGAAGGAATCGTTTATTATTCCTCTCCACAAAAAAGGAAGCAAATTGGAAACCACCAATTATAGAAAAATCTCTAAGTTGTCGCCCATCCCTAAACTATTTGAAAACATTATCACCCCTCTTTTACAGCAGTTATTTCAGTTATTTCTCCATGCCAACATGGTTTTATTAGGCGTATATCAACAACAAAAAAATCTTTTGGAGCTCTCTTCCTATATTATAAAGGGCTTTCATAATAATTTTCAGACATTTGTAATCTATACTGATTTCAGTAAAGCATTTGATTCTGTTAACCATTCTCTTTTCGTTAGAAATCTCGATTTAATGGGTTTTCCAAGTGATCTTCTTATTTGGCTCTCAAGTTATCTGAATGGCAGGACGCAAAAGGTGATCTTTGAGAATAATTTATCTAATGTTCTAAGGGTTACATTTGGCAAGGAAGCCATTTGGGAACCTTATTGTTTATATTATTTATAAATGACCTGCCCAAAGTCTTGACTAACTCCAGAGTGCTTATGTTCGCGGATGACGTCAAGGTTTGC